GACCTAACCTCCATGAATCTATCTTGCTCTGTTTTGAACCCTGGTCTGCACCACCTCCTCTGGCGAGGAGTTCCACAGGTTAACTGTGCGCCACGTGAAGAAAAACTTCCATTTGGTTTGTTTGAAACCTGCTGCCTCTTCATGTCCTTGGGTGACCCCTCGCCTTTGTGTGATGGGAACAAAGTCAATAACCTTCCCTTATTCACTTTCTCCCCACTAGTCATGATTTTATAGACCTTGATCCCATCTCCCCCTCCGTCTCCTCTCTTTCAAGCCAAAAAAATCCAGATCTGATTCATCTCTCCTCAGACGGCAGCCGTCCCATGCCCCAAATTGCACAAAATCATTAAATATCTGGTCACCTTCACTTTCGGTAAGGTAGGGGCAAAACAGGCGTTAAACATCCGCCCGTCTTTTCCATTTTGGGGTGGGTTTAATTTTAGTTTTCTGATGGAGCCGGGCTGTCCCATCTTTCTGTCTGTCCCGGGGGGATAGCTTCCCGGTGTGCTTTTCATACGGTCTCTGGCACCCACTAAGACAGAAAAAACCCCCCAACTTCCCATTTATAAGCGGTGCGTCCTCCCTGCCCGCCGAATCTGAACTCCTGCTTTTCACGGAGGGACAGCGCTAACTTCGAACTCACGTCCCCGTGGAGGCTCCGGGGCCGCTACTCCGACCTCATTGGCCTCCGGGCTGAGCCCCCATCCTGCTCCTTACGGTACAGTGTCCCCCCCCATGCGAACCAAATCGGTACCTGCTCCTCCTTCATGGCCCCCAGCAGGTCCCTGGGTGTCTCCCCGGCCCGGTTCCGGATCCCCATGGCCCCGGGACAGTGGTTCTGCAGTGGGGCGAAGAGAACTTCGTACACTGGGGAGGGAGAAAGAGAAAAATGAATGGTGCGCCCTTATAAGAACCATGTGGGATTGCAAAGCAGAGGGGTTTCTAAATCGTATTTTTTACCATTGGGATTCGCACGTGTTGCATTGCTCCGCTGGGTTTTTCCTTTAAACGGAGGTTTGTTATTTTGGGGGGTGGGTTTTTTTGCCGGTTTCGATCATGACTATTTTAATTGACAGGCGTTGGCCTTGTTTTAGAGCCGTTAATGTGCTGACCGCTTCCGTGCCGATGGGGATATACAACCGTTTTGGGCACCTTTCTGTCTGGGCCTTGGCGTAAGAACGTGCGGCCTGGCGAACGCTGCACTTAATTTTTTATCCATTTTTGCCTTGTGTTACACATCACAAGGTGGACGTCTTGGTTACAGAGAAGCAATCGGCACATTGGAGCAAGGCCCTCACATCACAATTAACCCCTCCCCCCAATTATCACCCCCTTTTGCTTATTTTACAATTCAACCAAAATGATAAGCGTTTCGTTTTGCCTTGGGACGGGCGTTCGCCACACTAGTCCGGCGGGGTCCCCGTTACAAGGTCCCTTCTGCTTTCAAAAAGGGAGGCTGGTGGGGTAAACTGAGGCACAGGCCTTTGCATAAAGCTCCATGTTAGCTGGACGCCTAGGTCCCAGTGCCCTATTTTAGTCTGCACCCCTCGGCACCCCGCTCCTCATTTTCCCGTCCTCCCCCCCCCACCCAGGGCGTAGGCACTTGGTGGCAGCATTTTAAACAAGAGTGGGGATTGGAGGGGTGGGGGGGAGTAGAAAGCTGAGAGCCAGGACTCCTGGGTTCTCCCCCCAGTTCTGGGAAGGGGGTGGAGCAGGGTCCCCTCTGATTGTGTGGGCCCGTGTGCGGAATGATTTTTGTTACGTGCACCAATA